GTTCCAGGCTTTGTACCACACACCACACCTGATCCCAGCAAACACCATCAGCTCTACCTTCAGCGCACGTCCAGGCGCTGGCCAGGTCTCACCCCCTTCACCGCTGTTGCCCTGGTCCAAGCCACCCTCACACTCCCCCGGACCGTTCAGCTCACGTCTCTCCGCCTGTTCTGCCATCTGCTCTTAGAACCGTCTCGTTCACATACGTCAGATCATGCTCATCTTTTTGGCTCCAAATGACTGAAAGTGCCACAGAGCCTGTGCCACGCTCCTGGCTGGTCTCCTCTGACCCCCCCTTCTCTCTCTGTGATCTGCTGCCCCCCACTCTGCAGCTGGTCCTCAGAAGCACTGGGTCCCCCATAGACAGCTCTGTGTTCCTGGGACACGCCTCCCTGAAATGAACACATGGCCGAGTCTGTCACATTCTTCTGGTCTTTCCTCAAATATCTCCCTGGCCAGTGAGCTAGACTTCTACCACACTCTCTGTTCCCCGTAGCCCCTTCGGGTTTCTTTTTAGAACATTGAGCATATTACATTATTTTACTTATTTATTGTGTTTATTTTCTGTACCTTCTCCCCTCAATGCAAGCTGTGTAAGGCCAGGGACTCTGTTTTATGTCTTGTGATACAGGCAAGACGCAGAGCAGCAGTTACGCAGAGCAGGCACTAGGCAACTATTGATTGGTGATTGATTGATGATTAATGAATCTATCTACCATCCATTGGTCTACACTATATTTATTTATCAACAACTCTCCTTCCTTTCCACTTACCCACCAGTCCTACCCATCCATCACGCATAATAAATCCGTTTATCTACCTGTCTCTGTCCCAGCCGTCCAGTGTGCATTCAGAAACCCTTCTGTGCACCTGCCCCTCCAGTCTGGCATCCATTCCTGTATTCCTGTAACCACCTGTCCATTCATTCAAATCACGTGAATTTTCCTTCTTTTTATCACATGCAAACTTGATCCCAACAAACACCGTCAGCTCCACCTTCAACACATGTCCAGAAGTTGGTCAGGTCTCGCCACCTTCACTGCCGCTGCCCTGGTCCAAGCCACCGTAAACACATGGGCACACATTCTTGTGTATCCACCTATTTGCCTGTCCTGCCCACTGAACATGCTCTCTCATATCCACACATCCCCTCCCACCCAGCAGCCATTCACTTACTCACTTCCCCAGCTGCCCCACCTATATAGGATGTATTTGCATATCTATCTGTCCACTTGGACATATACTCATATGTTCATCTATGCACATGTTCCCCCATCCAGCATATACAGATGGTTTCCGCCTTTTCATGGTTTGACGTACAATTTTTCAACTTCACAGTGGCTGGAAAGCCATAGGCATTCAGTATGCTCCTCAGCTTACCGCCTTGTGAAAAATGCATCATATGAAAATGCACCTTCAGCTTACAATGCTTTAAATTTATGATGGGTTTATTGGACTGTAACCCCATTGTACCTCAGGAAGCATCGTATTCATAAATTCAGCTACCCTCCTGTTCCACTCTTCCAATGTACATTCGTATATCCGTCCAGCCCTCCTCCCTACCCATCACAAGCTTCTATGTCCATTTCTCTGTCCCATACACCCAGCCTCCATCTGTATAACCCCTCAGCTCCATCCACCCAGCTTCTGGATCATGGGGTCACTCCCCTGTCCTCCTCCTCCCTATCTTTACTTCTGCCTGCCATTCCTAGGCACCCAGTACCTCAGCTGCCTCAGCCTCCTGCCCTCCACTCCATCCACTTTTGATACTCAAAAGTGTATTTCACCGTCCCTCTGCCATATCATTCCAAATATCCAACAAAGAAATCATGACCAAAGGTTTGTTTTAGAAATTCAGAGTTGTCTTGGTATAAGAAAATCAGTGAATATAATCTACCCTACTAATGAATTAGAGAAGAAAACAATGTTTATCTTGTGGAAATTTTAATGCAATCATAGATTTCTAATAGTAAGATGAGCAGTATCCTTCCTGGTACGTTGAGGTCAAGAATGACTCAGCTGCTTGTCATCATCGCTGCTATCTGGGATCGCTCTGGAATCTTCTTTGCCTTCATGAAAGGAGCTCACTTTGGCCCAGGCACTGTAGTGGAGCTTCACATCCATCAACTCATTAAGCCTTTTCCACAACCCTGGGAGGCAACACTGTTGTCATCTTCATGTTACGGATAAGGAAGTGAGGAAGGGAAGAGTGAGTTGTTAGCTTGCCTAAGGCTGCACAGTCTGTGACCCGCAGAATCAGGATTGAAATCCAGTCAAGTGTTTCTGCATCTGTGCTTTAACCTCTGCTATGCTGTCTAGGAATAGACTGCAAGGAGGAAATAGAACTACCAGTATTTGCTGTAGATGTGATTTATTACAAAGAACATGTGGTCAGTTAATACAGTATGATAGTTTAGCTGGATACAAAATCAGTTAGACATTTGAAATATACTTTTACATTATAATAAAAGCCAAAATAAATAGATTAAATTTAACAAAAGATGTAATAGCTCTTTCTGGAGAAAGTTATACAACTTTATTTTAACAAAGCCATCAAATAAGACCTAAATACGTGGGTGACATATTCAGCCCTTAGAAAGGAATACAAATTTGAATGCAGATGTCTGTTTTCTCCAAAACCACTAGCATAAGGACCCATTGGAGCATAGACTTTCTGCCTCTTTCTCTACCCTGATTCCTCAAGTCCTGCTTCTTCCCATCTTTGATCTCTCCATTTTGGTTGCACGTTCTGTACAATGTATCTTCCAAGTCACCCACTTGCCCATTTGCCCTTGTTCCCTTCCTTCTCTTCTTCCTCCAACTTTTCTTCCAGCTCCACTCCATTGACTCCACTCCATCTATTCAACCACTCCACTCCATCCACTCCATCCATTCCATTCACTCCACTCCATCCACTCCATCCATTCCTTTTTTCCACTCCATCCATTCCATCCACTCCACTCCATTCACTCTCTCGATTCCTTTCATTCCATGTCATCCAATACATCCATTCTATTCACTCCACTTCATCCATTCCATCCACTCCATCCATTGTATCCACTCCACTCTGTCCACCCCATACATTCCATCCATTCTACTCCATTCTCTCCGTCGATTCCATTCACTCCACTCCATCCACTCCACTCCATTCACTCTGTCCATTGCATTGACTCCACTCCATCCAAGCCATCCTACTCTATCCACTGCACTCCATCCGCCTCACTCCACTCCATCCATTCCATCCAGTCTACTCCATCCACTCCATCCATTCCATTCACTCCACTCTATCCAAGCCAACCTACTCCATCCATTCCACCCCATCCACTCCACTCCAGTCTATCCATTCCATCCACTCCACTATTCACTCTGTCTATTCAATCCATTCCATTCACTCCACTCCACCCACTTCACTCCATCCAGTCCATCCACTCCACTCCATTCACTCCACCCACTCCACTCCATTCGTTCCACCCCATCCACTCCATCCACTCCACTCCACTCTTCCACTCCACTCCATCCATTCCACTCCACCCACTTCACTCCATCCACTCCATCCACTCCACCCACTCCACTCCATCCACTCCACTCCACTCTTCCACTCCACTCCATCCACTCCACTCCACCCACTTCACTCCATCCAGTCCATCCACTCCACTCCATTCACTCCACCCACTCCACTCCATTTGTTCCACCCCATCCACTCCATCCACTCCACTCCATCCATCCACTCCATCCACTCCACTCCACCCACTCCACTCCATTCATTCCATCCACCCCATTCCATTCACTTCGTCCACTTCACTTCATCTATTCACTCCACTCCACTCCACTGCACACTATTTTGCTTCACTGCATTTGCTCCACTCCACCCCGTGCCATTCCACTCCGCTGAATTGCATTCTGTCTTTCCCTTCCCCACTCCCTCCATTCTCCGCTGCATATCCATCTCTTCATCCCTTTTCTCTCCTCTCCCTTGGTTCGTTCCACTCATCTGCCTGCATCCATCCACCCACAGGCCAACTCACCCGTGCTTCCCTTCTTCCACTCTGTTATGCACCCATCACCCTGACCACCCATCTATCCACTGTCCCTCCACTCTTCCTCCCCAGGTCTCCTGTCCATCTGTGTAACCTGCATGCTGAGGGATCCAGGCATTAGCCCCAGTATCTCTCTGCCTACCTTCTTTTTTCGACCCAGCCCCAATCTACTAAAGCAAAGACTTCTTACCCCTTCCTATATTTCTCTCTTTCCATTCTCCTTCCCTTCTTCATCCTAGAGCTTGGTTTCTTCTTACAGCAAACTCACACACATATCTGGATGTGACAGGAGGAAAGAGTGCTGAGGAGGGAGGTCCTATAACTCAGCCCGAGTGACAGTTGCATCTTGGAAATGAGTCCAGCTCAGTCCACGGCCTCCCCAAGACTTCCTGGGCTCCAGCCCCCTCCCTTCACCTTAATATCCCTCCCCAAAGGCCCCAGGGACCCCTGCCTCTTCTGCCAATGCACATGCCCGTTCTCAGGGCATCCCAGTTAATTTTAAACTAGGCAGAAACAATCAAATTAGGAGACACTTGTGTCACCCTGTCTTCCAGCTATATTCTCTCTGAGTCCAACTTCTTTTATTTTAATCATTTAAGACTTGCAAAAAAGAAAACAACAAAACAAAACATTTCTTCATATCCTTCACCCAGCTGTCCCAAATGTTAACATTTTACCGTATTTGCTCTTCTCTCTCTGTATAAATACATCTTCCCTATTTGATAGACCAGTTGAGGTTGGGAGTAGGTTTCAGACATGACACCCCCGTGCCCTGAGTTCATCAGTGCACAGTACCCCAGAGCAGGGACACGTTCCTCCAGAACCGTAGTTCACTCGTCAGCACTCAGAAACCAGGCACCAAGACTGCTGTGTGCTGTAGCACCGGCCCTGCTGGGCTCCTGGCTGCTCTGAGGCCCCGCTCCCTGGCTGACCGCCTGTTTCCTCTCCTCCTCCCGGCTTCAGGTGCGAGACAAGAAGCTTCTCAATGACCTGAATGGAGCCGTGGAGGATGCAAAGACCGCCCGGCTGTTCAACATCACCAGCTCTGCCCTGGCAGCCTCCTGCATCATCCTCATCTTCATCTTCCTGCGGTACCCCCTCACCGACTACTAAGGGCCACCAGGCACGGCCACTGGTGGACACGAGCACTGAGATGTGTTTATTTTCATGGCCCTTAAATTCAGGATCCCATGAAGTGGGGGTGGGGCAGGGATTCTAGTCCTGGGTCCTTGAGCTGTGAACCATGCAGGAAGGCTGTCAGAAGCTGAGTACGGCAAGGAGGCAGTGAGCTTGGCCCTCAGCCCACCCCCTCTGCCTCCTGGCCTCCACCCTGCCTGTGTCTGGGGACTGGGGGCTTCTCCCCACGCTGCTGCACCCCAGCTTCCAGTGGCTCTGTCCCTGCCCTCATGTGCCCCTTCCCAGGCTCCTGGGGCCCCATGGACCTGATACCCAGCAGGAAGGGCTTAGGCAAAAGTGTCCCAGGATGGGAGGGCTGCCAGCATCTGAGGACACACTCTGTGCTCCCTGACCCCACCTCCTCCACGCTGTGACCCTGCTCAAAGCCCTTGTATCTGTGAACTTTCAATGAAATACCCATGCCGCTCCAGCCCAGCCTTCCACTGCGTGTCCTCAGCAGGGGCTGGAAAAGTCTGGAAGCTTTGTGAGCTTCCTTCAGGGACTGCCTGGTGGTCGGGGCCCCTGGTTCTGTGTCACAGCTGACAGCAGGAGACAGTTTGCCCCATCACAGCTTTGCCAAGCAGTAAATGGGGGGCATTTGGTGGAGGTACCCCAAACTCGAGTCCCTTAGAGGGTCAGGCAGCCTTCTGGGGGGATGGAAAGGGGTGGGGCACAGCCTCAGCTATGCATGTTGGCCAAATCAGAGCAGAGGAAACCACAGATTCACTCAGAAGGAAGCAGCAGGCAGTGACGACAGACCCCTGGCCAACTCCTGTCCCTCCTGGAGGGCTCTGGGACCTGGGCAGGCCCCTTTACCTCTCTTGTGCCCATCTCCTTAGCTGTAAAATCGGAAAATGGCCTTTCACTTCTACAATCACTGTGAAAATCAACTGAAGATGCCGTTCAAAAGCCGAGGCCGGTGCCCTGCCGGCCTGCAGCGTGTACAGTCCTCCATGTGGGACGCGGGACGCAGGGAAGCGCTCTGGCCCCTGGGAGCTCGGGCCCAGTGGTGGGGGTGCCAGTCAGCCCTAAAGACAAGTGCGATGAGTGTGCACTAGGAAGAGCTCAGGGCGTCCAGGCGCACGGAGGAGGTGGGAGGTGAAGATGGAGAATAAGCCGAGGCAGCCACCGTGCAGAGCCTGGTGGCCTGGGGGCCCAGCTGGTCTGGGAAACCGCAGGAAATTCTGCAGCTCAGGTGCACAACGGGAAGGCAGGCGGCCTTTCCCAGGGAAGGGGCATGGCCGTGTGCTTCGTGTTTTGGGAAGATGGTGCCCTCTGGGGCAGCTAGGCCAACCTGGAGGGGATCCCAGTGGACAGAGGCGGATGCAGGTGGAGGGAGCTGAGCCAGGGCTGGGGCCAGTGGCAGAAGGCCGGACAGCAGGCATCTGGCAGCTGCGCGGTGGGGCTGACTGGTTTGGGAGGTAAGGTGGGGGAGAAGCCCAAAGGGTTCCTGTGCCTTGACTCGGACAGCCCAGTGGGTAGAGAGGGCTGTGTACCAAGAGCAGGGAACCAGGGAGACGTTGACTTTGAGACAAGCAGGGAGGGGAAGAGCCTTCTGGGCTGGAGGTGTGGGGTACCTTGGAAGGGAGGCCCTGGAGCTAGCAGCAGACGCGACAGCCTCAGGGGTCAGGGCACAGCCGTGGCAGGAGTGCAGTGAGCAAGACTCCGGTCACAGTTCTGACCCAGAAACCTGCAAAGGAAGGGAGGGTGGCCAGCATCAGCCCTCAGTCCTGGGCTGCCGCTCAGGCGGAAGTGGGGGAAATGCTCAGAGAAGAGGGGAGGGGAGTGTGTGACCTCAAAACAGGAGCGCATGGGGGTCAGGGTCAGGAGAGGATACGGGGTGGGGACCATGTGGGGCCCTTGGGCACTGACCCTTGACCCCAGGCAGTGGTGGGATGGGAGGGCAGGAGGCGGCGGGCCGTGAGACTGCTGCCCAGCTGCCTAGTGCTGTCCCTGCGCCTCTCGGAGGGTGGTGGGAGAAGGGCCAAGGGCGGCTGCGTGCCTCACCAAGCCTGTGGCAGCCTGGCTGTGGCACTTCGGATGCTTGCACCATTAGACCCAGAGGCTTCCTGGACAAGTCTGGGCTGGAAGATGACGGCAGAGGCTGCAGGGCCTGGGAAGAGGGTTCTGGCTTCTAGATCCCAGGCCACGTAGGGGAGACCGGGGTCCTGAGACATGAGGTCAGCTGAGGCCCACCCCAGTGTCCAGGCTTCTTCCCCGTTATGCCCGGGAGGGAAGAAAGTAGAGGGGCAAGTGCCTTCTCTGCCTATTTCCCTTAAGCCTTCGATGCCAGGGCTGGTGTGCCTGGGACCGGGCCAGGAGGAGGCACACCTACGCTGGGGAAGGCCTCAGCCAGCTTTTCCCTGGGATGTGCCTGCGCCTGGCTGAAGCTTTCTGAGTTCATGCGGGGAAATGGAATAACCACTTTCCAGCCAGTAAAGCCACCCCTAGCTCTTGGAATGTTTGTATCCAACCCCGGGCAACGCAGGGCTACAGAGGCCCCCGGCTTCCACACCTGGGGACCGGGAGAGGGCTGGAGCTCGTACGGCGGGCGTCCACGGTGAGGTGGGGCCGCCGCAGCAGGTGCATTCTCACCCTCAGCAGGCAGGCAAGCAGGCAGCGGCTCCGGCACTGGGCTCCGGCTTCGAAGTCTGTGTCTTTGCCTGTCCGTGCTCATCGCTGACCTGCTGGCGCTCCCTGCCCACTGCATTCCTCCCACCTCATTTTTATGTGGTTTTGCACAGTACCTGGCAAGCATCTGACATTCAATAAACATTGTAAGAATGAAAGAATGAATCGCCCTCTCACTCTCTCTCTGTCCTCCTTATGTGCCTCCATACTTTTCTGTATCTTTGGGAGTCAGGGGACTTTCCCTGCCCTCCCCTTTCCCTGTGCTGCCCTAGTCACTGCCCTTAAGACCCCAATCTGACAGCCCAGTTTAAAGGGGTTGAGACTGGGCGCAGTGGCTCATGGTTATAATCTCAGCGCTTCGGGAGACTGCCATGATTGCATCACTGCACTCCGGCCTGTGGGGACAGAGTGAGACCCTGTCTCAATCAATCAATCAATCAATCAATCAATAATCAGGACTGAGGAGGCAAATGGAGGGGAAGTCTAAAGGCTGAGCCTCATTGTGCATCTGTGTACGTGTGTGAGAGACTGTGTGCATGTGTGTTGCGTGTTCATGTGACTGTGCATGTGTGTAACTGTGTGCACATGTTCGTGTGTGTGTAGTGTGTGTGTATACTTTCATCTGTGACTGTGTGTATGTGGTGCATGTGTGCGTGACTGCATATCTGTGACTCTGTGCATGTATGTGCTGTGTGGGCGACTGTGCATGTGTGGGACTATATGCATACATATGTTGTATGTATGTGTGTGCATGTGTGTGACTGCATGTGTATATGCTATGTGTGCATGTGTGTGACTGTGCATGCGTGCGTTGTGTGTTCAAGTGTGTGCATGTGTGTATGTATTGACTGTGTGCCTGTGTATATATGCTTTGTGACTGTGTGCATGTGTTTGCATGTGTTACTGCATGTGTGTATATGCTGTGTGTGTGGTGTGCATGTGACTCTATACAAGTATGTGTTGTGTGTGTGTGTTGTGTATACAAGTGTGTGCATGTGACTGTGTGCCTGTGTGTGTATATGTGCTGTGTGTGACTGTATGTGTGACTGCAAGTGTATGCATGTATATGTGTTGTATGTACATGTGTATGCATGTATGTGTTGTATGTACATGTTTGTAACTGTGTGTGTGACTGTGTGTGTGTGCACTGTTTACATGTGTGTATACATGTGACTGTGCATATGTGTATATGTGTGTGTGACTGCATGTGTGGGACTATGTGCATGTGTGTATATGTGTGCATGCATGTGACTTCATGTATGTGTGTATATGTGCTGTGTGTGGCTGTGTGTATGCGTGTGGCTGTACGTGTGTGAGACTGTGCATGTGTGTATAGGTGTGTGTGCATGTGTGTGCATGTGTGTGACTGCATGTATGTGTGTATCTGTGCTGTGTGTGACTGTGCATGTGTAAGATGTGTGTGCATTGGGGACGGGGTGCCATAGGGTCATCCCTCCACCTCCTTCCTGTGACCACAGTGGCCCAGAGCTTTCCAGGCTCCCCTGCACTTGCCAAGCAGCCACTCATTCCAGCAGGTGGGGGAGCTTGATGCATCTTCTCCAGACATCGAAAACCACATAACATTCTTTCTTTTTTTATTTTCTTGTTTAATTATACCATGAATTACTAGTAATTGACACTGTTAACTAGTCCTGTTTTCTTTTCTTTTTTTTTGCATTTTAGGTTTTGGGGTACATGTGAAGAACATGCAAGATTGTTGCATAGGTACACACATGGCAGTGTGATGTGCTGCCTTCCTCCCCATCACCTATATCTGGCATTTCTCCTCATGCTATCTCTCCCCAACTCCCCACCCCCCACCGTCCCTCCCCTATTTCCCCCCAACAGACCCCAGTGTGTAGTGCTCCCCTCCCTGTGTCCATGTGTTCTTATTGTTTAACACCCGCTTATGAGTGAGAACATGCGGTGTTTGATTTTCTGTTCTTATGTCAGTTTGCTGAGAATGATGGTTTCCAGATTCATCCATGTCCCACAAAGGACATGAACTCATCGTTTTTGATGGCTGCATAATATTCCATAGTGTATATGTGCCACATTTTCCCTGTCCAGTCTATCATCAATGGGCATCTGGGTTGGTTCCAGGTCTTTGCTATTGTAAACTGTGCTGCAGTGAACATTCATGTGCACGTGTCCTTATAGTAGAACGATTTATAATCCTTTGGATATATACCCAGTAATGGGATTGCTGGGTCAAATGGAATTTCTATTTCTAGGTCCTTGAGGAATTGCCACACTGTCTTCCACAATGGTTGAACTAATTTACACTCCCACCAACAGTGCAAAAGTGTTCCTATTTCTCCATATCCTCTCCAGCATCTGTTGTCTCCAGATTTTTTGATGATCGCCATTCTAATGGGCGTGAGATGGTATCTCAATGTGGTTTTGATTTGCATTTCTCTAATGACCAGTGATGATGAGCATTTTTTCATATGTTTGTTGGCCTCGTGTATGTCTTCTTTTGAAAAGTGTCTGTTCATATCCTTTGCCCACTTTTGAATGGGCTTGTTTGTTTTCTTCTTGTAAATCTGTTTTAGTTCTTTGTAAATTCTGGATATCAGCTCTTTGTCAGATGGGTAGACTGCAAAAATTTTTTTCCCATTCTGTTGGTTGCCAATTCACTCTAATGACTGTTTCTTTTGCTGTGCAGAAGCTGTGGAGTTTGATTAGGTCACATTTGTCTATTTTGGCTTTTGTTGCCAATGCTTTTGGTGTTTTGGTCATGAAGTTCTTGCCTACACCTATGTCCTGAGTGGATTTGCCTAGATTTTCTTCCAGGGTTTTTATGGTGTTAGGTCTTATGTTTAAGTCTTTAATCCATCTGGAGTTAATTTTAGTGTGAGGTGTCACACTAAAACTGGCTAGCCAGTTTTCCCAACACCATTTATTAAACAGGGAATCCTTTCCCCATTGCTTGTTTTTGTCAGGTTTGTCAAAGATCGGATTGTTGCAGATATGTTGTCTTGCCTCCGAGGCCTCTGTTCTGTTCCATTGGTCTATATCTCTGTTTTGGTACCAGTACCATGCTGTTTTTATTACTGCAGCCTTGTAATATAGTTTGAAGTCTAGTAGCGTGATGCCTCTCGCTTTGTTCTTTTTGCTTAGAATTGACTTGGCTATGCAGGCTCTCTTTTGGTTCCATATGAAGTTTAAAGTGGTTTTTTCCAGTTCTGTGAAGAAGGTTATTGGTAGATTGATGGGGATAGCATTAAATCTGTAAATTACTTTGGGCAGTATGGCCATTTTCACGATATTGATTCTTCCTAACCATGAACATGGAATGTTTCTCCATCTGTTTGTGTCCTCTCTTATTTCGTTGAGCAGTGGCTTGTAGTTCTCCTTGAAGAGGTCCTTTACGTTCCTTGTTAGTTGTATTCCTGGGTATTTTATTCTCTTTGTAGCAATTGTGAATGGCAGTTCATTCTTGATTTGGCTCTCTTTAAATCTGTTATTGGTGTATAGGAATGCTTGTGATTTTTGTACATTGATTTTGTATCCTGAGACTTTGCTGGAATTACTTATCAGTTTCAGGAGATTTTGGGCTGAGATGATGGGGTCTTCTAGATATACAGTCATGTTGTCTGCAAATAGAGACAATTTGACTTCCTCCTTCCCCATTTGAATACCCTTTATTTCTTTTTCTTGCCTGATTGCTCTGGCTAACATTCTTTCTTAATTGCATGTGCTCAGCTGTCCCACAGGAGCTTCAGAGACAGGAATATGTGCTCCCTGGCTCTTCCTGCTCCCAGAGCGTGCAGTTGACTAGCTCAGTTGGATGGGGGCACCAGAGGATGGGGAAGTCTCTGACCCCACCAAACCACAGGGCCCACTGAGGCGAGCTCCATCCCACTCAACCTTGGGATGACAGGACCAGCCCTTGACAGGCACTGGGCAGAGAGGGGACTATTCAGAGACAGAAAAGGGACAGGAACCTCCTCCCTACCCCCGCTCTACATCTACCTGCTGAGCTGGAGGCTCCACATGGCTGGTCAGGGGCGGCTTGCAGCCAGGGCAGGAGATGTGCCCCTGGAAGACTGGCCAGGGAGGCTGTGGCGACAGAAGAGGCAGAAGTAGTTGCGGTAGAAACAGCATCTGAAAATGGCCCACAGTGGATAAGCTACGTCAACCCGCCGATTCACGACGACCAGCAAAGTCCACACAACAGGAAGAACATTAAACCCCAGTTCAGCACATCACGGTGAAACTATACAGCACCAGACCCAAAGAGAAAAATGCCTTCGAAGCAGTCAGAGAAAATCCGTGATGTTCAAAGCAGCAGCGATGACTTTTTATCAAAAGTAATGGCTGTTCATGACCTATGGGAAAGAAAGTACTTCTTTAAACAAAAACTTCTTAAATGTGAAATATAATGCACGGAATAGTGCCCAAAGTCAATTAAAAGTAAATTTTTTTTAATTAAATTTTTTTTTTTAAATAAAGATGGGGTTTCGCCATGATGGCCAGGCTGGTCTTGAACTCCTGACCTCAGGTGATCCACCCACCTCGGCCTCCCAAAGTGCTAGGATTACAGGCGTGAGCCACAGCGCCCGGCCGAGTAAATTTTTTTTAAAAAAAGTACAGCTTGATGAATTTTCACAAAGCAATCACCCATTAATTTAGCCATAAAATATCAAGAAGGAGCACTTTGTCCGGACCCCTGGAAGCCCCCAGGGGCTCCTTCTGGCCCTTTCCTTCCCAGCTGGGACCCAGCACCCAGACTGATCAACACCCAGCAATCAATTCCAAGCTCCTGTGTGCATTTTGATGACCTAAGAGTTTGTCCTTTAGCGCCTTCATCTGTTAAACAGGCGCCTGAGTCTTGGAACTTTTTATGAATGGAACTAGGCCATGCTCTCTTTTGTGCCGTTTTTTCCTGCTGAATATCGCCCCCGCCCTCGGGATTCACTGAGGTGCTTATGATTTTCACTGCAGCCCGACATCCGTTGCACCACGTACCACAGTGCACACATCCATTGTACTGTCGACAAACACTTGGGTGGTTCCCATCTTGGCATTTAGCAGCAGCACTGCTACGAGCCCCCCTGTGCATGCTGCTTGGGGCACCTGGTGCCCATTCCTCTTGGGCAGATTCTTAGTGGTGGGACTGTCGAATTATGAGGTTCACGGATCCTCCACCTCGCCCGACC